GGGGCCCTCTCAACCCTCCTGGCAGCAAGGCTGTAGCAATTGCTCATCTATGAAATGTGTATAGACTGTGTGCTCCAAGAAGGAATTTTATTATCTGTTATGATTCCAGTGATGAAAACACTGTTTAGAACATATGTGAAAAAGTGAACAGATTTGAATTATTTCTTGAAAGATATCTTTTCAGCATTGGAAATACCTTCTCTGTGTTTAGTATGAGGTCAGTTTGAGATTCAGATTGAAAGTGTGCAGTTTGTCTGAATTTTGATGTATTTCCGTGGAAAAAAGCATACATGTTAAGTCTACCTGGTGAGGGTCTCAGGACTGTGACATTCCTTCTCCTTCATTCCCCAGCAGGAAGATGACCATGAAGAGGGGGAACCAGAGCAGTGTGTCTGAGTTCATCCTCCTGGGGCTCCCCATCCAGCCAGAGCACCAAGGCATGTACTATACCCTGTTTGGGGCCATGTACCTGACCATGATGCTGGGGAACCTGCTCATCATCCTGCTCATCAGGCTGTACTCTCGCCTCCACACCCCCATGTATTTCTTTCTCAGCCACTTGGCTTTCACAGACATCTCTTTCTCATCTGTCACAACTCCAAAAATGCTCATGAATATGCTGACACAGAGCCACTCCATCTCATATACTGGGTGTGTTTCCCAGGTATATTTTTTCTTATTGTTTGGGGGTATTTCATCCCAAAGATGCTCAGCAACATGCAGACTCAGCACCTGTCCATGCCTTTTGAGGGGTGCATTACTCAATTATATTTTTTCTTGCTCTTTGTAGCTGTTGACAATTTTCTTCTTGGAGTGATGGCATATGACAGGTATGTGGCCATCTGTCACCCACTGCACTACATGGTTATCATGAGGGAGGAGCTTTGTGACTTATTGGTGGCTGGATCTTGGTTCCTCTCTTGTATGCGTGCCCTGCTGCACACCCTGCTCCTGTCCCACCTGTCCTTCTGTGCTGACAACACTATCCCCCACTTTTTCTGTGATCTTAATGAACTCATGAAGCTGACCTGCTCAGACACTTCCCTCAATGAGATTCTCATCTTCTCTGAGGGTGGTGTGTTGACTCTCCTTGCAGTGGGTTCTATTTTGGGCTCTTATATCTGCATTGGTTTTACTGTCCTGAAGGTCCCCTCCACCAAGAAGATCTGCAAAGTTCTGTCCACCTGTGGCTCTCACCTCTTCTTGGTGTTTTTGTACTATGGGACTCTTGCAATTATTTACTTCTTTCCTTCTTCAAGTAATTCCCAAGTTAAGGAAATAATTGCTTCAATAATGTATACAGAGGTGACACCCATGCTGAACCCCTTCATCTATAGCCTGAGGAACAGAGACATGAAATTAGCTCTGGGAATTCTTTGGAGAAGAGTTTTAGCCAAGTAAGTGTTATGTACTCAAGTTCTTAATTACCTTAGAGATGCTTCCAGTAACACACCATAAAATTGTATGCGTGAATATAGTATACTGCAGAAATGACCATTACTGTCTTTACATTTCAATTTCAGACTTTGTTTTCCCACTCTGAATGTGGGTAGCACTTGTGACTTGCTTTGACTAGTAAGCTTGGTCAAAGCGCTTGTGAGATTTGCATGCTTAGAAGGACTTTGTTCCTGCTATACTTGTAATTCAGAAGTTACCTTATAAGGTAGCCTAAGATAGTCTGCATGAAAAGCAAAGGCTACATGCAGGACAACAAAGATGTTACAGCCTGCACTGAGCCAGCACAAGTATATCTAATGAGGGAGTTTATGGTACTGATGAGTCCCAGTTCAGATTGTCTAGACTGAGCCAAGTCCAGAAGTCCTGTCCACCTAATATAGTTCCAGGCCAAATTGACACACTATAGACTTCTTATGCATATTTAATCACTGTGTTTGGGCGTAGTTATGAATCATAAGCTAACTGATTCATTGACTTCCTATCACTGATGTGCTCAAAACTTTTCCAAAATGTCTTCCCTCCTCTTCTGATCCTCTGATTTAGTTGTCTTCCTTCCCCATCTTGCAGATCTCACTGACGTCAAGACATACAGGCTCATGGGTAGGAAGTTTTCCATGATCTTAGCCTTAGCTGTTTTTATTTTAGCTGCTATTCTCCCATAAGCTTTTTGGTCAAATGTAGAAGCAATATTTACAAACACATTGTCTCATTTACCTAAAGATACGTGAAAAACTTGTCATAATATCAAAATACCTAAGCCTCCTATTTCCGACCAGAAATATCTCATCTTAACTGAGTGTTATTTTTAGAATTACTTTTGGAGTACAATTAGAGAATATTCAAAAATCTTGCATTTTGTTTAAGTTTTATCTTCTAACTCAGGGTACTGATACCATCTGAAAACTAGGAATTCTCAAATGTAATATGTTTCTTATTTTTATTTAGAATAAAATTCATATGTAGATTCTTTTATTTATTTTATCATTGAGTGCACAACATCCTTTTAGATCAATAAAAAGATAAAATACACAAAATGTATTATGAAATTTAATAATAATTAGTAGTATATATCTGTCTATGTCTGTCTCTCTCTTCCTGTTTTTCATTATTGAGGCAGGGTCTCATTCTGTAGCCCAGCCTGGCCTCGAACTCATTTCTCAGTTATTTAATGCCTCAGCCTCTCATTGGATTATAGGAGTGAAAACCATGTTCTCTCTCTCTCTCTCTCTCTCTCTCTCTCTCTCTCTCTCTCACACACACACACACACACACACCAATTTTCCCAGTTATTTAAATAGCTGTTGCTCTAATATTTTAAAACAAGACAATTGAGAATGTGTGCCTTAAATGTGGTTTCCAATGACATATCACCTGATAGTTTCTTAAAACATAAACTTATGTTATGGGACTAGGGAGATGACTCAGTGGTTAAGAGCACAGACAGCTTTTGCAGAGGACCTGGGTTTGATTCCCAGTACCCACATGGCAGCTAACAACTGACCGTAAGTCCAGTTCCAGGGGATCCGACATCCTCTTCTGACCTCTGTGGGCACTGCACTATATGGGTGCACTTACACACGTGCAGGCAATACACTCATACACATAAAATAATAAATTTTAAAAAATTTAAAAAACCATAAATTTATTTTGAAGATCTTAGCCTTATCATCTTAAATTTATTTGTATCAGTGACAAAAATATAGTATATACACACACACATATATATATATATAATAATACATGTGTGTATGTGTGTGTGTTTGTGCATGTAGACACAGGCTATCTAATAAAAACTCCAATCCCAGGCCTGGTAAATCTCCCTTCAAGTTGTTCCCCAGGGTTGTCCAGGAGACTCCCCAAACAACACAGGCAATTGTGATAGCCCTTGGTTGCTTCCCAGAACTTTAAGGTAAGACCCTATTGCTGTAGACACCACATGTTTTGGGCACAGGAATTAGAGGAATACATTTGGAACTGACCTAGAAGCCTCCTCCCTGAAGACTAGCTCTCATAATATGAGAAAGTGAAATGTAAGCTGCCAAGGCAGAAAACAAATCATTTATCCTACCCAGCTTAAAAGCTTATGAACCACAACAATGCCTGGCCCAGTAAGATATCACTAATACTACAATAGTGACCCTTTTCTCTTGGAGAAATCCAATCACTAATTCAATTTAACAGGCGGGAATTCATATCTGAAACAGTGAATCTAGCTAAATACTTGTGGCTGGAGAATTCATAGAGCCTAGAGCAGAAGTTGCTCCTGCTGCTTGCCAAAACTAATATAATTTCTAACTATACTTCAAATAGTTATTCTTATACCCACAGATAAGTGTATCTCTCACCACCCATCAATGAAGCTTCTTTTTGTAACAGATAGATACTCTTACAGAGAGCCACAACCAGTCAAAATACAAAGAATAACTGATCATGGGGTACCCAGCCCAATAATACATTTACCTGTGCAACCCTTACACAAGGATCAGGCAACATTGTGAAAGAGGGGGTGGACAGTTTGCAAGAGCCACAGGAGTAGGATGGCCCCTGCTAGATAGCATCTATCAGATATGACCAGGAAGCTGCACCCATGAAATCTCAACAATGTGGTTGTCTTAACAAGATCTGCATCATGACCTCACCACTTGCCATGCCCATGTAGATGGCAGAAATTTCACATGTTCCCTTCCCTAGGTGAAGATCAATGAGTCCCGAGAGAGAATCAATTTTCTCCATGAAGGAGCTCCCTTATATGTTATACAATCCCAAGTGGTCAGTCCTAAGCACATGAGCAACAGAAACTGAACTCAGTAGGTTATGTACACACAGACACACACACAACACACACAGGCACACACACACACACCCCAATAATAATTAAATGGAGGTCATAAAGGCCATAAGTGGAGGCCATAAAGTAGAGAGGGACATAGGAAGTATTGGAGCGGGAAGACGGAGGGAGTAAAATGGTTCCAATACAGTTTTTATGCATGAAATTCTCAAAAAATAAAAGTGTGATGCACACAGAAGGCCACAAATGGCCAAGTTTTAATGACTAAGGGACTTTACAGTGTAGGATAAGACTCTTATATGGAACCTCATGCACTCACAGCTCAGGAACCATTGTGGAAAAGGGAGAGGAAAGATTGTAAGAGCCAGGGCTGTTTCATGAACACAGGGAAGCAGAAGCTTTCAGGCCACTGGAAACTTGCACATGTGAACTTGTGGCAATGGTGGTATTGAGCACAGGACCCATGTCAACTCAATTAAACAAGGGCCCAAAGGGGAGGAGAGATATAGGTTATGGGTCAGTACTAGACTGAGAACTATTGGAGACTGATTGCTGCTGGGTGAGGGAGAGTATGACTTAAACACTATCTCTTTATGGCCTGACTAGACTCCAGTGGATGAATTCGCACTGAAGGACATTTGGGTACAAATGCCTGAATAGATAGGACTTAACATGTATGGTGAAATACATGAGGTCCAGTGGGGGGATAAGAGAGGTATGGATGGGGGAAGGGGGGTCTAAATATGATTAAGAACTGTTGTATGAAATTGCAAAAGCTCAATAAAAATATTTATATAACAAATAAAATAAAAAACACAACCTAACCCTTCCCTCACAAACCTAAAAAGCTTCTGTATGGAAAAGCACATCATCATTCTAGTGAACAGGCAACATACACAATGGGAAAAATCTCTGTCATCTATACATCTGACAGTGGGTTAGGATCTAGAATCCACAAAGAACTAAACAAAAACCTAAACAACAACAACAACAAAAAAGTAATCAATTAAAATTTGGGGTAAGGATGGCTAGAGAGATGGCTCAGCTGTTCAGAGCACTGGCTGCTATTCTGAGAACCCTGGCTCCATTTCTAGTGCCTATGTGGTGGCTACAAAGTGTAATTCCAGTTCCTGGGGATCTCATGTCCTCTTCTGGCTTCCATGGGCATTGGATGGTATGAGTACATAGACACACATGCATGTAAAACATTCACACACAAAACTAAAAACAATAAATAAAGTTTTTTAAGGAATTGGTGCAAGGAACTAGACAGGTCTCAAATGATGAAACACAAAGGGCTAATTAATATTTTCAAAATGTTCAATATGTATACTAATAAAGGAAATATACATTAAAACTGCTTTGAGAGTTCATCTTACCGTATTCAGAAAGGCTAAGACCCAAGAAACAAGTGAAGACAAATGCTGGCAAGGGTGTGGGGAGGGAGGACATTTATTCACCCCTGGTGGGCGTGCAAACTGGCATCCATTACAGAAATCCATGTGGAGGTTCCTCAAAAAGCTAAAAATACATCTAACCACTGGAAGATTTGCTCTCCCATTTCGTGTGGTTGTTAGGTTTTACAACTGTGTTGGACCACTGATTGATTTTCTCCCTTAGCAGCTTGTATAATATCCTCTAGAACTATGAGAGCTAGTCTTCCAGGAGGAGGCTTCCAGGTCAGTTCCAGCTCCATTGCTCTAAGCCCTGTGTCTCTGAAGTATGTCAACAGGGTCTTACCGTGCACTTCTGGGAGGTCATCAAAGGCTGTGGCAATAGCTTTAGCCATTTTGGGAGTCTTTTGGACTAGCCTGACCAAAAACTCAAAGGGAGGTTTCTCCTGTCTGCCACTATGTTCCTTGTTATAAAGCCTTTAGGTATGCACATACACTCATGTTCAGATATTGTATGCATATTTTTAATGAGGCTTTTGAGTTAATACATTTCCCTCTGGCTTTTTATGCCACCAAGGTTTATTTATTCTCTCTCTCTCTCTCTCTCTCTCTCTCTCTCTCTTTCTCTCTCTCTCCCTGTCTTGCCTCCCTCTTCCCTCCCAGTTTAAGTACCTCCATTTCCCCCAATTTTTTCCTTGATAATACCTGTCTCCTATTATGCCCCCTCTGGAGTTACTTCTTCCCATGGTTCCTTGTATGTC